AGTGGCCCAGGCATTAAAACTGACCAGAAGCAACATAGCAAAAGCTTTGAGACTTGAACTGCCATGCAGAGCACCACCCGGGTTTCAGACCAGCCTCCCAGGCGTGCACAGTGGGGCAGTCCAGAGCTGCGCTGCAAAGGTTCAGAAGGCAAATTAACATTCAAACCACAGCCCACGAAAGTGGGCCAGGATGTGTGTTCTAAATCTAAATGGGTTGACTGCCTGCTAAAATAAAGACTGAGAAGAACCCAAGTCTTATAACACACCACACAGCAATTCTAAGATACAACCCAAAACTACTTGGCACAGCAAGAGCCAGGAAAATCTCATCTTGCATTAGGAAAAAAATCAACAGATGTTAATGCCCAAAGACGGAAGTGTTGGAACTATCTGATGAAGATTTTAAAGGAATTATTATAAAAATTCTAAAAGCAATTATGAACATTCTTGAAACAAATGAGAAACTAGAATATCTCAGAAAAGAAATGGAAGATATAAAAAAAAATCAAATAGAAATTTAGAACTGAAAAATATAGTATCCAAAATAAAAATACTCACTGAATAGGTCAATAACAAAGTGGAGGTGACAGAGTAGTCAGTCAGTAAACTAGAAGGTAGATCAATAAAAATTATCCAATTGAAGCAACACAGAGAAAATAGATAGAAAAAAATGAACACAGCCTCAGGCGCTGGAGGAAAATAACAAAAGATCTAATATTCATGGCACTGAAGTCCCAAAAGAGAAAAGAAAGTACAAGCTTTAAGAAATATTTGAAGAAATAATGTCTAAAACTCTCCTAATTCTTTAAAAGACAAAACAAACAAACAAACCACACAGATTCACATAGCTGACTGAATCCCAAAAATGATAAACTGAAAGAAATCCCTGCCTAGACACATCATAATTAAACTGCTGAAGCTGGAAGACAAAAAAATAAAATAAAATAAGTAAGGTTAGGCATAGCACACATAAAGCATGATCTTGAATTTTTACACTGGCACCTCTATGGATATTAAATACTAGAATTGTAAATGGCTTTATTTTAATAAAAATATTTAAGAATGTGTTATATTTTATATAATATTAATTTTAAATATTTTATATATTATAAAAACATTTAATAATATCTCTAAAAATCAAATAAAACTTCTCAACTTCTCCCTCTGCCCAATCCTGTTTTTCTCACTCATGCAAGACTCATTCTGTATTATAGGTGTTATTCTCCATTAAACCACCCACATGCAACTCTCTGTCTTGGACTGTAGCTCCAAGGAGCCTGGCCTAGTGGCGAAAAGAAGCATTGGCCCCCTGTCTCCTCTCTCAGGTGGTGGTATGGTGAGACAATCAAATGGTGAGCATGCTAGTAGACATTGTTAAATGTATTCTCATTTTATAGCTTCATTTAAGTAGCTTTGATTTTTAATTGCAGATATTTAAATACATGACATGGTCTTCATTTGTTATATTCTTCCCTCTGGTGCCAGAAACGTTTGGAGTGGGCCTGCTGCCTGCTCCTCCCGCTTTTCTCCCATTATATTCTCTAGTTTCTGTGATAAAGGAACATTATGGGTTTTTTAAATGTTTTTATATATGTCTATTGATTTTTAGAGAAAGAAAAACATCAATTGGTTGCCTCCTGTATGCGCCCTGACAGGATTGAACCCGAAACCTAAGTATGTGCCCTGCCTGGGAATTGAACACGCAATCTTTGGTGCATGGGATGACATTCCACCCAGCTGAGCCCCACTGGTCAGGGCGAGCACTACGGGTTTTATAAAATGATCTTGTGTCTGGCAAACAGGCTGAACTACTTTATTAGTTCTATTACTTTGCCTGATGATGCTATTGAGTTGTTTTTATGAGGATATTTATAATTCCTGCAATAGTAACTATTTGATTTTTCCCTCCAGTCCTCATGTCTTTTATGCTTTCCCCTGTCTTATGGTATGGGCTAAATTCTGCAGCATTGTGTTCAGCATTAGTGGTATCCTTGCCTCATTATGACCTTCATGAAAATGTATCCAAAATTTCTTTAATAAATATGAATTCTGTTATAGGATTTTTGGTATACTAGCCATTTTGGATAGAAAAGCTGAGTTTGCTTTCTTTTTCTAGCTTCCGAGTGTTATTATTGTAAACAGGTGTTAAACCTTAATGAACATTCTTCATTCAGATACTCTTATGGTCTTTCTCATTTAGATCATTAATATGGTAAATTACAGTGAGAGATTTTTTAAATGTGGAACCATCCCTTATATAAAGGCTGCTTGTGCATGGGATACATGAATATGTGTATGTTAATGAAATGTAAAATTTGTTTAGCTGATGTTTAATTTAGTATTTTGTATCTATGACAATAAGTGAAATGAGCTTATAATCACCTGAGCAAGGTTTCACTAGCTTCCCACACTTTGTGGAAATAAATGAAGACCAGCCGAATGAGAATAGGCGAAGGCTGTTTATTCAGGGCCCCATAGAGCAAGAGAGTCAGCCACCATCGCCTGCATTTTGGCAGAGACTCAAATATGGGCAGAGGAGAGAAAAACTTTACAGTGGAATTTTTTTTTTTTTAAAGGAGAGGCTTCAAGTAGGCCCCGACTGGAGGCTGTTGGCATGGGGAAGCTGTAGGTGGGCTGACTAGACACAGGGCATCCTGTATGGTTGGCGAAGGCTATGTATTTCGTTTGGTCTGAAGTTGGACCTACGTCAGTCCTAGGTTAGACCTTAGGACTAGTTGGTCCTAAGCGGGAAGTGGAAACAAAAATTAGGGAAGTTGTCAGTTATTAATCAAGCCCTAGTTATTTGGGCCCAATGGTTATGGAAATTCTTGTTTGGCTTCCTGTACTGTTTGCTAGAGATAATAGTCTGACTTCCTACAAGTGTGACTTGCAAATAGTAGGTTGGCTCCCTGGGCTGGTTACTGCCGATAATGGGTTCGTTTCCTGGGATGATTACTATATATCGTGGTCAGAGTTCTATTTTTACACATGATCTGGCCATGATCTGTTTGTATATTTAGTCTCTCATCTGAATTGTGCAACTTTTCCTCTTTTTCAATTTCCTGGAACAACTTACGAAAGAGAAATTCTTGAAAATCTGGCAAAATTCCTCGGAAAAACTGCCTGGGCCATATCCTTTTAAAAATGTCAGAACTATGGAAGCACACCTGGGTACTAGTAGCTATAAACCCAAAGAATTGGGAGAGCTGTGCTTGCAGTGCTTGGTGCTGGCTTACAGTTCCTGCGGTGGAAAGGGGTTTTGTTAGAGAAAGAGGGGCAACCCTTACGTTACTGAAGAATTTCTGGAGCCATGTGGTAGTGAAGGCCGCTTTTGGTACCCACCAGAGTTCGCTGTTGTGCCCACATACCTGACATGCATGAGCTGAAAATTCATGATTTTTATTTTTAACCCAAGTTCCTTAGTAGTATTATATTCAGTTTACAGATATCTGGGACTGTGAATAGACCAATGGAACTGAATAGAAAAGTCAAAAATGCATCTTTGTATATATATTGGCTCTTGATATGTAGGATAGATATATTACTACACATTAATGTGTGAAAAGCTATTTAGGAAATGATTTGAAAAGAACTGGATCAGTATTTGGAGAAAATAAACAGGATTTTTGCCTTATGTAATATACAAAAATGAATGTCTTATGTAAAAAGAAAGGAAGAAAGAAAGAAAGAAAGAAAGAAAGAAAGAAAGAAAGAAAGAAAGAAAGAAAGAAAGAAAGAAACCCTGATAATAATACAAGAGACCCTCATTGTGAGCTCTGGGTAAGGAAAGATTCCTTCAACTACACTGAAAGTGTATAAACCATGTGGCAAAATTTTGATGGATTTGGCTGCACCAAAATTAATTTCTTTCAGCAGACTAAGTCAACAACAGTTAACAGAATGGGAGAAAATATTTCCAGTATCCATATGTCCAAAGAATACCTGTAAATCAACACTGATAGATCTCAAAAACAGTGTTGAGTGAGAAAAGCAGAAAACAACATTAATTTGGCATGTCCTTTATATAAATTAGATGCACATATACAGGCAAAACAAAGAGGCATGTTTTATAGGAATAAATGCATATTTAAAGTCACAACTTAAAAAGTATATCAGTGGGGACAGAAGAAAGAGCAAAGACTAAGGAAGAAGAAAAAACAAAGAGAGAAAGAAGACATACCTCAGCTCAGAACATAAGATCATTATTAGTCTATATATGAGTAACTCAATTCTAAGAGGAAAAAAATTAGACTAGAAAATATTTATAAAATCCCTAGTCTAGTAACTCACACGTTAGCCATACAGTTGTTAGCTACCTTCCCCTACTACCACCTTAAAAACTCAAAAATCCAGCCAAGGTTTGTTGCACATATTTCTTTTCAATAAGCAGAAGCTTTCAACCTTGACAATCAGAACTTTCTTTTTTATTAAAAACAAAATGGTAAGCAATCAACTGAACTCAGTATTTGAAATGAGAAAAGAGTCATCCGGCTAATTTTTTTCCAAGGCCTCCCTTTCCTGATTAAGAATGGAGTGAAACAATTGGTCACATTTGAGCTTCTAAGTAGACCAAATTTAATGTACCTTACAAGTATTTTGCCTGCCAGGCATTGCAAAAATCGCTGCTGCTGATTTTACAAGAATTCAATACATGAGAAGACAAGTTGGCTGGGATTAAATAGGAGATTATCTCGGTAAATGAGAATGACAGAAAAGTCGAGAAGCAGAACCTCATTGGAAGGGGTGGGAGGGGAAGCAGGATGGGCTGGCAGGGTGGACAGGCAGCCATACAGGAAGCCGGTCTTAGAAATGCAGTGCAACCAACCAAGAGGAGATACAGGCTTTGCGGGACTTGAGCTTACTCATTTGGGGGGATGGAAGGTGACTCCTAAGAAAAACTATATAAAAATATGAACACAGAATCAGCTATGATTGTGAATGTTTCAAATAAGGAAAAGAACCCCAATAAACTATAAAATGTGAAAGCCGATAGCTATTGCAAGCAACACTCTGAGGCAGACGGTCAAAACTGCCTGACACAATTTGAGCCTGCTACGGCACCCAAGTCTAACCTATTCGGGTGCTCTCTCCTCTATGAGACAAGCTGTTAAATAAACATGGACCGTGTAAAAAAATAAAAAAATAAAAGCTGATAGATGTTAAACATTACAAAATTTATAAATATACCTCTTAAACCACCTGGCCATCTCTACAATTCTTGTTTTCTGCATTTTGGGGGACATATAGTTTCTGATGACCTCTTTCTATGACAATTTCATAATTTTGTAATAGACAAATAAGTCATTTCCTCTAGTATGGCTGATTAAAATTTGTTTTTATTACTAACAATTGGATGTGTAAAACATGACCATGCACAGATATGTTCGCTTTTGAAGAACCGCTATAGGTTTTTGCCCTGTAAATACAGAAATTCTGAACAAAAATCTATTTCATGTGATTCCATCAAAAGGGAAAGACCTATAAGCTTCACTTAAAATTATATTTGTTGCATATTGGGAAGATTCTTGACAGGAAAGAACTTCTGTTTGGGCCAGGTGTTGGTGAGAACTCAGTCCTCTGCTTACGATTTTACATGCCTGATGACTGGGAGAATGTTCTGTGGATTAGCTTCTAACCCTGTACATTTCAAACCTCACTTCTCTCCCACTGGTACATCTGGACCAAATGCCACAGGGCACACAGCCTCTGAGCCTGCAGCTTCAGGTGTCCCCTGAGGCAGGGAGCGGGTGAGGCAAGTGTTCCTGGATGTTGTTCCCTCCCTGGGAGGCGCTGACAATAACGCAGCACTGAAGTAATGCAAAGACACGGCCACGTCCTACTAAGCCCAGAACAAATGAGATTCCCCAGTTAATGTCCCTTTAGGTGAATCCCAAAAGTGTTCAAAGCTGCTCTAGTCACATTAACACAAGCAGAAGTCCGAAAGAAAGGCGACAGTATTCTTGACCGAGTGCAGCTAAAATACGATACTCTGTACATTTCACAAAAATAAATGTTGAGGGAGCGCGACGCTGGTGCCCTCCCCGGCCCCGGAACTTGGGGGCGCCCCTGCCAGGGAGGCCTCGCAGCTCCAGTAGGGTCGCCGTTCACCGTCAGCCCTCTGACCCGAGGGGGCTGCGAACCCGGCTGACGATCCGCTCGCCCCCAGACCCCTGGGGAGCACAGACTGGAAGCTCTCATCTTTGAGACGCTGACTCAACCGTGGGGAGGGAAGGGGTGGTTTGGGGCGCTAAGTGGGACGGGGCAAGGTGGGGGTGGAGCCGAAGGGGGGAAGGAGAGAACGGGGTGGGGGAGCGGGGCTCCCTGAACCGTCACTACCTTACCTTATGGAAAGGGAGAGAGATCATTACCTCCGGGGCTGGGCCTAGCAACCTGGGAAGGCCACGCCATTTTTTTTTTTTTTATTGTTCTTCTATTACAATTGTCCCAATTGTCCCCCATTGCTCTTGCTTACCTCCCCGCCCCACTCCCGCACTCATTTTTAGTCTCCTGATGTTTTAAGAAGTGACGGTGAGGGGCCAGCTTCTCCAAATTGCGGCCACTGCCCTTCCACCACCAACACGCACATCTTACACTGCACTCCTTTCTCATTGCCCTTGCGGCCCTTTCACACCAGGAGTTCACACACAGGCCTTGCACCTTCCTCCAAGTTACCGCCAAACACTAACCTACCGACTGGAATCTCAGCCCAGCGGCTTGGGAACTGGGCTCTTCGGTCCTCGGCCTGTGCTCCGCAGCGGAGGCAGGCAGGCCTCCGCTCACCTCCGGCACAGACAGTTCAGGTGAGTGACCAGATCAGTACGATCCACAGGCAGCTCCGAAATCTGAAGGGTGATTTTTCTTCTAGACAGCAAGCCTTTGTTTTGGCATTCCTGGAGGGTAAGAGACTGGACCGTCATAACATTAATCTTGGGATACCATTTGAATAATCAAATACCAATTAAATTCTGTTTTTAAAACAGTAACAGCCTCTGTCATGAAATCTCTCTCTTTTCTTTTTTCTTTTCCTTCCCTTTCTTTTCTTTCTTTCTCTTAAATGCTCTGCTCCCATGTGTGCAGACTTCAGGACAACTTGCCTTAGTTTGTGGCCTGTGTAGTCCCTTGCCGTTTGGAGCCCCTGGCGAGCTTTTTAACCTGTCTGCATGGCCGTTGCCTGGTCTTGTTCATATCTCTGGGGTGGGGTTGTCAGAATTAAGTGAGATAATGTTTGTAAATTGCTTAGTGCAATGTAGCTCTTTGCTCAATAAATCATAGTTATTGTTTTCACCGTATTACTATCTGTGCTTTCAGAATGAATAAGGAAGGTATGCAAAGGAAAAGAAGACCCCAGAGTTACTGAGGATACAGGAAAAGGACATTCTCCACCACTGCTAAGAGGAGGATTGATAAAGACCTTTCAGAAAGGATTTTGATAGTGTTTATCAAAATTTATCTAGTTTCTAGGAATCTGTTACAAATTGATCTAAACTAATTTGATGAAACAAGAACACTCTGGTTCTGGTGAAATTCCAACGACTCTAGTGAATAGAGGTAAATGATACAGCTGAAAGCTTAGACCTTAACCATGGGTTTCCAGTTAGGGTACTTCACCTACTAACTGCCCTGGCTGTATGCACCTTGGGAGAGAGCGAGGAGGTGGGGATGTGCTGGTACCCCAGGGCAGAGGAGAATTTGTGTTTCTTACAGATAACTCACTCCTAGCAGGAGGAGAGGGGAAACCTGAGCTGAGCCTGCCCAGCATTGTTCCCCAATTCATGGACTAGGAGAAGCCACCACCTGCCTCTCCCAGGCTCTGTGGAAAGTGAGAGGAAGACAGAGGCCAGGGGTCTCCCAGCTACACATGGGGGAGGCTTCACCCTTAGCAGTTACCTGGTGGCAGAACGTTGTGAAAAGGGAGGCAAAGAGAACTGTCACAGTTCACTCCGTCTATGCCTATTGTTTTGCATTTATAAAGATATTGTATGTGTGCATGTCACATAGTGCAAAAGAAACAATGCATGAAAATAAGTCACGTGGCTTTCACTTCTATGTACAATGGAACAGCCTCCGGCAGATGATACAGGAGTTTTCAAAATTGTTTTGGTGTAAAAAGTTTCAGAGGGTTGGATGAAGCAACCAGGAGAGAAGGGACCTGAATCTGGAGAAGGGAGAGATGCGGGGAGCTCAGCTGCTGACTGGTGGGCGCATGGCCCGGGGGGGTTCCTCTTCCTGCAGCTGCGGAGGCGCAGCCACTCCCCGGAGAACCCCACCGGAAGCTGCTCTCCTCCTCCTCTAGTCTCCGTCACAGCTGTCTCGCGGCTTGCACGAAGGTGTGATTAATTGTTGATTTAAATGTGTTGTTTATCTGTCTCTACCTTTAGACTATAAACTCCTTGCAGGCAGGGAGAGTTTGTGTGACTTGCTCATTGTTGTTTTCTTGACTTCCATCACCTGCCTGGTACACAGATCTGTTGAATTGAGTGGAATTGGAACAGTGACTGCTTTCTGGCCCTTTCAGACTTCCTGGATTCCAGAGGCACCTTCCCCTCCCCTCCCTTCCAGGCCCTGTTTTCATAAGACTTCGACAATAGCTTGAAACCCAAGCTCCCTTCTAACTAGAACTGCATTCTCTGCACCGTGTTCTAAGATGTCTAGGGCTTGGAAGTGGGTGGGGTTCGGGAACGTATCTTCAACCCTCTGAACTCCCAGGCCACACCCAAGCCAACACCCCAAGGGCCCTAGGCCCTTCTCTCCCTAACCACAGAAAGTCCTGAGACTCTAACAGAAAAACGTTAAGAACTTCTACTCTGAGACCCTATGAGGTGTCCAGTTTCTGTTTAACTCAACTCACTTCACCATCTCTCCAAAGCCCTGTCGGCTCTCAAGTCCATCTGCTCTCAAACAAGACTCCTAAAACCAGACTTGTCCCATCGCCTGGCCTCTGGGCTCCCCTCCTCCATTTTCACTGGGCCCTGGGTTTCCACCCCACCCAGGGGTTCCACAAAGCCCCCGCCCTGAGGGAGCCTATGCCCCATGATTGAAGGGAAAAAACAAAAAACAGAAAACAACTATGTGATACCCATTTAAGTCCTCAATTTGGGGGTACTTTAAAAGAATGTTTGTAACTGTGGCTTAAAATGCTCTCAAAACTTTTTTCCTGTGCATTTCAAGTCCCTCTTTCTGTTCCTTTCCGAGTATAAAGGACCATTTACTGAAGCAAAGGAAACTGAGTCCCAGTCCCAGTCCTGCTGCTGTGTGATCTTGGACCATCTGTTTTCTGATGGGACCGCCTGCGATTGCTTTGGGTTTTGGTCCTTTGACGATCCGAGGAGGAAATACTTTTCCCTGGAGTACCCCGCGGCTGTCAGGCCCACGGAAGCCAACATGCGAGGGCCACCCTGGCCTGAGACGAGGGGATAAATGCAGTGCCACATGATTAAATTGCACTGAGAGGCATGCCTGAATTGGGCCCTGCCCACCCAGGATCAAGTGACCAAGGAACCCACGCCACTCATGAGGAGGCTGTTTTCGTAGAAGAACAAGTGCTGCATGGTGAGGGCGGGGTCCCTAGCCCCCCACCCCCCTCCTCTGCCACCTCACTAGCTGGATGGGACATCCACCTGGAATAAATGACAACCTCTCGCGGCCTCAGATTTTGAAGTTGTTGTGGGGACAGTACTTCTCTGCCATAGATTTAGTGTGAGGATTAAATGGACCCTTAGGCGCCCGTTGTTTAGGACAACTTTGGGCACAGAGGAAGCCTCTGTAAGTACTAAGGGGACAAAATCTCCAGGTATGGAGAGTCCAAGAAAACGTCCTCTGGCCCAGGCAGCTCACAAATCTGATTGGAGCCGGGTCCTCCCAGGGGCTGGATAAACACCAAGGGATGGACACATGGGCCCCCTTTCCAGGACTTGGTGCAGGCCACGCGCTTTTGCTGTCACCTCCAGGCTTTGAATACTCAGGTAGAGTCACTTGATTAGGTGACACCTTTCTTTGTTTACATTTAGTCCCAGATTATACCCGGAGGCACCTGGGGTTTGTTTTATCTTAAATCCCCACTGTTTAACGTAGTGCCTTTAGGGTATTATTCCATCCATATCTGTTTCATCAATGCATGAGCTTCATT